AAAAAAAAAAGAAGAAGAAAAACTTCAGACACTGGCGATTTTAGAGGGTCCGAAAATGACTGGCGCTGAATGAGTTCAGTGAACTCACACATGACTTGGATGCACAGCGGTGGACTGTTTTCGCCGAAACCAACTTGGTTGATGGCGCGGCACGCGTAGCACCGGCGGTCGCTCAGCCGCACCTCGCGCACCAGCAAGTGTTCCTCGTTGCCATTGGACAACTTATCCCACGTCCTCCCGTCTTGGCTGAGCAGCGACCAGTCATACTCGTCGGGCTTGGGGTTGGCGTCGGCGGCGCACCGCAACAGGGCCGATGCGCCCGCTTTGACCATGGGGCTGGTTGACCCCATGATGGAAAGGCTGGTTTCCCGCGGCCGGTCTGCAAAGCCGGAGAAGAGGTGTCAACGACGCCCCGTCGTCCCGGCGACCCCTCAAAAATGCTCAGACTCACATTCCACGTCAACGAGAAGCTCGGCCGAAGTCGCTTTCATGTCTTTGAAGCCCGCGTTGAAGGCGGTGCACGTGTACCGTCCGATGTCCTCGGGCTGCACCGACGACACCATCAAATTTCGCCGCGACGCCACGAGTTTGTCGTCTTTGTGCCACATGAAGCTATCGGGCCAGGGGTTGCCTCTCTTCACCTGACACAACAGTGTCATGGCCTCGCCCTGGTTGAACTTGGTCCAGGAAGAACGGACCTCGACAGTCGGAGGGTCTGAAAAGACGTTTGCGTATTTCAGAATGAACGGGCCCGTTTCCAAGTGCGCTGCCGCGCCAGGGCCGTCGGGCCACCGTTAATATCGGACCCTGCGCAATGTGAATGGGCATTCTTTGCGCTAACGCACAGATGCGCCGAGATGTGAATGACCCGCGTCAGAACATCAACAGACTTACATTTGATGTTCACGGCAATCATGTGCGACTCTCTTCCCAGTTGGTTTGTGGCAACACACTTATAGCGTCCGTTGTGCCGGCTGCTGACGGACTGGACAGTCAAGGTGGCCCCTTCCACCGGCAACTTTGTGCCATCTCGAAACCACTCAAACGTGGGGCCGGGGTTGCCCTTGGCGGTGCAGGTCAAGGTCATGGTGTGTCCTTCTTGGAAGTACGTGACGCCTTCGGGGAGGCTTAGATGAACATTTTTTGGGCTGTCTGGAAT